GTGGGGCCGAGTCCACGCCAGTAGGGACAGGCATCGGTTAGACGATACTGAGCGCCCCATGTCGAACTGGCTGATGGCCTCACGGCAGCCGTCCGCCGCCTCCCCCAGGTCGACATGGCAGAGCGCCAGGCTGTCCAGACAGGGCACGGCCAGCCGGAGGGGGAAGCTGGAGAGGCTGTGGCAGGTTGCGTGCAGCGCCTTGCCGACCTTCTCGACGCGCTGGTCGAACTTCTGGTTCAATACCTGAGCGACGATAAGCATCGGGTCTTTCGCGACATGGCATGGCGACCTTACGCGGTGGCTTGCGCGGGCCGCCAGCGCGTCGAGCCATATCGGCAACGAGGGTGCTCACGCGAGACCTCAGGCAGGACTCTTACGCGCCAACGTCGGTGAAGACGACCACACTCATCTGCGCCGCTCACCTGGCCGCAGCCTCCGAGGAGGAGCTGCTGAGCCTTGTCCAGGTGGAGGGCAACGGCCAGCTCGTGAATGTAGCTGTCGACCTGCAGCTCCGTCTCCGAGAAAGACACTATCAGCCTCATCGGGAACAGGCTCACGAAGAAGGGCGTCAGGAAGGCGAGGAACCACGCGCACAGCACGTAGTGCCGACTTCTTGCGAAGGAGGTCCAGTGGACCAGCGCCATGCCGAGGAGCAGCAGCGGCAGCAGCTCCATCGCGCAGACAACGATCTCGACATAAGCGGCACCGCTCAACACCTCGGCGAGCACGCCCGCGAGCAGCGTGAGCAGCTTCTGCTCGGTGTACTGCAGGAAGCCGAAGCGCTCGGCACTGCTGGACACGAACGCCTGGTAATTCTGCATCTCAGGCCGGCGCGCCAGCGCGTCGAAATACAGACGGTGGCGCTTCGTCGAGGACAGGATGCAGCACTGCATCGTGTAATAAACGAGACCGACCGCGAGCAGCGCGCCGATGCAGATCCTTCGCCAGGCCAGAAAGTTTGCCAGCGTCGGAACGCCCTCGTTGGCGGCGGGGCCAGAGGGGAAATGAGAGGGGGCAAGCGCTCTCGGAAGGCGTCGGGGCTTCTCGGAAGCCACCCGGCTCTCTGAGAAGGCCGAGGAAACTTCACCGAAAGGCCGGGGGGGGGGCTTCCGAGAAACCCCACGGCCTTCTGAGAGGAGGAGGAGGAGGAGGAGGAGGAGGAGGAGGAGGGCCCCCTCCCGCTTCCCCTCTGGGCGCGCCGCCTGCCTCGGGAGCGACCTTCCGGACCTCCATGCGCTCGGCGCGGGTGGCCAGCTGGCCCCGCACGAGGCGGTCCACGTGCCCGGGCTGCAGGAAGCTGCGCAGGGGCACCAGCAGGAAGCGCAGCCAGACCGCTCCGCCAGGGGGGGCTCGCCGCCAGAGCTCCTCCGGGGGCGCAGAAGGACACACGGCGACCGATTGGATAAAGAAGTCCAGGGTCTGGAAGCCAGTGGGGCTCCCATCGTGGATTGGCCATGGATGCCACCGCTACCCTCATCAGATCAGGACCCCCCCAGGGCCTGAAGCCTCCTGGGCACATTCCTCGACGAACGCCCCCACCGGACTAATACTATGTGCCCACCTGGGGTGTGCGTGTCCGAACCGAACGTGTAGTACAAACATCTTGCAACAACGCATCGTCACCCAGGCGGTATGGCCACACAGCGCTGCTCGGACCGAGCATACACAACACGACTTCTGAGCTCACGCGTCGCCCCTGGGGGGGGGGGCGGCGCACACGTAGTAGAAGTGTTTGGGTGATGCCACCAACCTTAGGCGAATCCGCGCCACTCTCTGAAGCGTGAATGATCGACGCGCTGCTCAGCTGGTCGCGGCTGATCTGACAGTTGCTCGACCGGCACTGCGAGGACCAGGACAGCCTGAGGAGCGACCACATCTGGTAGCACACAGCAGCCACCACAACAGCTCCAGCAACGCACCAAGCCCACTGGACAAAGACGTGGCTACGGTCTGGATCCTTTGTCGATGCTGCCACAGAAAGCCAATCGATCCCTGTAGTAGCCATGCCTTGCTGAACTTCGGGCAAACAACTATGCTGGATCCGAACGCCGTGACTACGGCATGTCAGGGCTGAACGCCTGTTGGCTCTCTTGTGGGCGGATCACTCCCCTTCTTCTTATCTAGCCCTTCCGCTTCGAGAGACCAGTGAAGAACATCGAATTCCTGCACGCTGGCCAAGTGTCCCCGAGAAATGGCGACGTGACTCGCCCCCCACACAAACCCACCCTGACAAAAAAAACGGCGAAGCAACGCAAATATCCAGTGAACCTCTTCGAAAAAAACAGCGACGACGACACGTCAAAACACTTACTGGACAAGCAGAAAAAGCCAACGCATAGCATGTGGTGGCTTTCATGTGCGCGTAAAACGACGATGCAAAGCGCATGCCTCGAGAAATTGAATGAAATGTGTGTGCGCGTGCGTGTGCGTGTGCGTGTGCGTTTGCGTTTGCGTGTGCGTGTGCGTGTGTGTGTGTGTGTGTGTGTGTGTGCGTGTGTGTGTGTGTGTGTGTGTGTGCTCAAATTTGCCATGGGAACACATGTGAACCCTGACACTGGGGCCTTCGGTGGCGCCCCCCATAAGGTCACGCGTCCCAAGGAGGCCCGCAAGCAAGCCGCGGTCCACATCATGCGCCCCAAAGAACGCCGAGTAATCCCGGAGAAAAAAACGTCGACGAAAGATCTGGCGAAGACTTCGTGCATTCCCCGAGAGGACGGGGAATGGCGACGCCTGACCTCGAGGGGGTACCCACTGGAGTCTCCGCTGAGGGGGGTGATGTGGACGGGCAGCTAGGTACGTGCTATGGTTTTTCGAGGGCCAGCTGCATCATGCCCCACGGCGGGCCTAAGATCCATCAGAGGCCTCGAGATGTCCCTAATAATGCCGGTCAGGCCCCATGGGTCCCCAAGGAGCCGCCCACTGAGCCTTCTAGCAAGTCCCTGAGTCGACAATATCGCTGAACACGTGTTGCTTTCGCAGCCATCCCTGGCACTCCCCGTATAAAAGACCTGCTGCTGTTGCTCGTCCTCCTCCTGAGGCAATGAGGCAATGACGGCAATGGAGTTCTCCAGACGCTGCCGCTATCCCCCCCCTCCTCCTCTTCGTCCTGCCGCTCCTCCTCCCTTCTCGCTTCTCCTGCCTTTTTTTTGGGTCAACTATCCTGTTGCTGGTGGGCCCTCATTGGGACTTGAACACCTGTTGCTCACCTTCTCCACCACCTCCCCTTGTGCTCCTGCCTTGCTCCTGCGCCTGCTCCCCCCCCATGCCCCGGGCGCTACCCAACACGCACCTCACGCCGCCGTCGTGCGCCGCCTCTGGCAGTCCAGCAGAGCGCGGTCTTGCGCAGGCCAAACGAGACCTCGCTCCATGAGTGCTGCCAGTCGTGCACCCGTCGCCACTTTCGGGCGCTCCTGGGGTGGTCAGCGGGGCGCGCTCCTAAGCAGACCAAGTGAGACCTCGCACCCCTGGGCGCCACTGCCTGCACAACTGTCGCCACTTTCTTGCGCCCCTGATGAGTCCAGCGGAGTGCTGTCCTTCTTTCGCAAGCCAGTGATGAGTGGATTGCACGTCCCTGGGTATTTGCTCCCAGTGTGAATCCGCAGCGCCGCGCCCAACCTCACCTCCTCCTCCTCCTCCTCCTCTTCCTCCTCCTCCTCCTCTTCATCCTCCATTTCCTCCTCCCCCTCCTCCTCCTCGTCCTCGTCCTCCTCCTCCTCCTCCTCCTCCTCCTCCTCCTCCTCCTCCTCCTCCTCCTCCCCCTCCTCCGCCTCCCTCCCCCCTCCCTCCCTCTAATCCTTTTCATGAGCATCGTCCTCCTCCTCATCATCATCAGCATCAGCACCATCATCGGCATCAGCACCAACATCAACATCATCCTCATCCTCATCCACTTCAACATCTTCCTCTTTCTCTGCACCACCAGCAGCCCCGTCATCACCACCACCGTCAGCATCACCAGCATCATAATCGTCATCCTCACATCATCATCATCATCATCATCATCATCATCATCATCATCAGCATCATCAGCATCATCATCATCATCATCATCATCAGCATCATCGTCACCACCACCGCCACCATCGTCAGCATCATCGTCATCATCATCATCATCATCATCATCATCATCATCATCATCATCATTATCACCAACATCACCACCCTCACCATAATAATCAGTATCCTTCTCCTCGCCTCCTCCTCTTCTTCCTCCTCCTCCTCATCATCACCATCAGCGTCATCATCATCAGCAGCATCATCATCATCGTCATCATCACCACCAAAATCAACATCACCATCGTCAGCATGATCATCGTCATCATCATCATCATCATCATCATCATCATCATCATCATCATCATCATTACCACCATCGTCACCCTCGGCATCGTCATCACTATCATCACCGTCGTAACCCACCAGTATCATCGTTGCCCCCTGGCATCACCATCGCCTCCATCAACATCCTCATCATCGGTGCTGCCATCACTACAAGCGTCGGTGTCATAGTCCTTGCAATCCTCGTCCTCAATATTAACGTCATCATTGTCATCATCATCATCACCATCATCAGCATGATTATCATAACCATCATCAGCATCATCATCAGCATCATCACCTGCTTCATCTTCATCACCGCCATCATCACCAGCATCACAATCATCGTGAATCACCATTATCTTCGGTACCCCCTATGTATCATCGCCATCCTCTCCATCAACACTCTCATCATCTTTATTGCAATCACCACAGGCATCAGTCAGTATCATGTTCCTTGCCATCCTCGTCCTCAAAATCGTTATCACCATCATCATAATTACTGATCAGCAGTCGCAGTTCGGCACGCCCGTCCCATGCTTCGTGGCCCCATCGGGAGCTCCATCGAGACCCCCCAGCGATTGAGTCCACATGTCGCCGACCAGCTCATTGCGGCCCACTCCACACCCTCCGTAAGGAGCCCCGCCGAAGGCCCCAATGGCAAACTCCGCACGTCGCCGCCCTGGCAATGTGGGCACACCCCTCATACGCTGGCACGTTGGCCCCAGCAAATTCGCATGGTGTCGCCCCGCCCATGTCGGAACACCTATCACACGTTTCGTGGCCCCATAAGGGGCTCCACCGACGGCACCTGTGGGCGTGCTCGCATGGCGTCGCTCCGCCCATTTCGGCCCACTCACACCCCGTAGGGAGCTTCACCCAATGCCCCACCCATTCTGCACACACTCACACACTTCGTGGCCCATAGGGAGCTCCACCGAAGACCCAAGTGGGCATGTTTACATGGCGTCTCCCCGCCCATTTCGGCGCACCCCTCGCCCGCTTCGTGGCCATGTAGGGGACCTCAACGAATGCCCAAGCGGGTATGTTCGCATGGCGTCGCGAAGCCCATTTCGGGACACCCCCCCAAGGCCCCCGTGGGCATGTTCGCACAGCATCGCCCCGCCCATTCCGGCACACCCCTCACACGCTTCGTGGTCCCTACAGGGAGCATCATTGAAGGCCCAAGTGGGCACGTTCGCATGGCGTCGCCCCGCCCATTCTGGCCTACCCCTCACACGTTTCGTGGCTCCATCGGGATTTCCACCGAAGGCCCAGGTGGGCATATTCGCATGGCGTCGCCCCGCCGATTTCGGCACAACCCTCACACATCTCGTTGCCCCGTAGGGATCTCCACCCACGGTCGCAGTGTGCGCGACCGCATGACGCCTCCGCTTCGTTTCGGCGCACCCCTCACACGCTTCGTGGCCCCCATCCGCTCTGTCCACGGCTCCATCCCTTTCGCCGCACCTTACAGGCCTCGGAAAAAATTAGCGAACACTCATGCCACATTCATCTGTGAACGCCTCCCCCTTCCCCCAATGTTCAAAGTTGGCGGTGGGTCTGATGAGTTGCACCTCGACCGCAGTCTCTCCCCCGCGTGCCAACTTTGAGTTTTGGGGGCAGGAGGGGTGTTCACTAATTGTTTCCCTCTACCGTATTTATGGGGAGAGGGTCATGTCCTGCGTTGCTTGCAGCTGAATCGGGTTGGGTCGTTCGCCAGGCTTACATCTTAGCATCCTAAACTTTTCAGCGCAGGATGGTCTCAGGACGGCGTGGCAGAAGGCAAAGAAGGTCCCAGAAAGCCCCGATACGCCCCAAGACGGCCCGAGTAGGCTCCGGCCTCCAAGAATCCCCACGGAGCCCCCAAGAGAGATATAGAGAGAGATCTCAAAAGCAATTCAAAGTTACGACCACGCCACGCTACCACATCGTTGCGCTGTTTCACAGATGGCCCTGGGATGGAAGGCTCGATCTAGTTATCTTGCCTGCAAGACGATGCTGCGCTGGCACGAAGGTGGATTTCGCCACAGGCAACTGGATAAACTCTCCAGCGAGCATACTATTGGCAAATGTAGTGTTGTATCGGGCGGCGCCATCTTGAGACGCTGTCAGCGGATACGTGACAGAGTAGCCTCGGTCTTCCGCGAAGCAGCCCTCCTTGCCGTACTGCCAGAACTGGCAGTGCAGGTTAGAGTAGCACCAGGCCCTGCAGTTCTCGAGGCCCAGCGTGGCATTCCCGCTGCCCCACGCGGTGTCGCCGATCTTGCGCAGGCCCCTGATCTCCCAGCCGCGCAGAGCCATGAGCACCTCGACCTCGCCGTGCAGAAGGCGCTGGGACCCCAGCGTGAGCAGGTCTGCGCCGCCCACGTCCCCGCAACGCTCGCCCACGCCCTGAGAGCACTGGGTCATCAGGTTGTACTTCCAGACGCTGCACAGCGGGTCCTGGGCGCACGCCTCGTGGCAGTCAAGGGCGTTGATGGCCGAGGTGCGGGACAGGCCCTGGCAAGCCCCGGGCCAGCCCAGGCTCACGTCCTGCAGCACCCTGGCCTGCCTCCAGCAGCTCGCCGGCGCGCCGTCGGCGCGCCGCGGCCACGCCTCGAGTGGCGCGGGCTGGCGCCCCGACGGCCACGCCGCGTGGCTGTCCGCGGCCGTCTCGCCCGGGAAGCCGGGGCCCGGCCGCTCGCC